TCATTAAGTATTCAAGTTTTCAGCAGTCGTTTAGATGTGTTCAATTTTTTTTAAATTAAAATAATCATTATATTCGTTAATATCTAACTCATATGACACATATTAATTTTGAAGCAAATAGTTTTCTTTATAGAAAATTTAGTAACGAAATGTAGTATCAAACTTGCAGTCGAAGCATTATATTAGTGATGGGAAGCATTGAAAATAAATGTTGTTAATTTATCAGATAATGCTAGGAGAAAAATTATCGTTTACTTTTGCAATTATTAAACGATATATTTGTTAGAAACTAAAGCAAAGCGCATAACATTCACATTTGACATTGACATTGAATGGCCTTCTTGTGCCCCTTACTTTTGTGAATGTATTTTTCACACTGACCGATTTATAATAAATGGTCACTCAATGTTGTACAAATCATTACTTCAGGCATGGGAAACCTAGCATCCAGCTCTAAACTTAAATTGAGTGCTTATTTATACCTCATATCGTTAAGTTTAGGCTTTGAAATTTCAAAAGTTTACTCTGTGAATAAGTCATTTTCCAAAATTTTACCAAAAAATATAAGTTGATTTATTACAGATGGTGAACCAATTTTTCTTCTTAAAACCAGCAAATTTGTGCTTAGTTAGCTTTTTCAAAAACTTGTGATTAATGAGAATGAAAATTAAAGTGAAATTACATATTGGCATACATTGAAAATATTCAATATAACTTGACTACTGAAAACTTGCCTTACTAACTGAAAATTGTGCTCACCTTCAATTCATTTTTTCTTTTCTTTTGTATAATGCATTCATATTTATACAATACAAAATTATATTTTAATGTTTTTTTTAATGAAATTATTTAAAAATTGTATTGCTAATAATTATGCATACATGTATAGAATGTTTAAAGCGTAATCATTTTTATGGCGATTTTAAATGAGAAAAGTAGAAGCATTTGAATTACTTAGGTGAAGTGATGTTACTCATGCGCCATGCTGATCGCCTGACGATTTGTTACTAGATATTTTTCGAATTTTCGTAAACTTTGTTTAGGAAAATATAATTTTATAATTTTCATTGATATTGATAACGTATCTTTCGAAAAAATTAGTGTAATGTCTAGAAAAGCACTTAAAATTTATAACAATTTTTTATGTAATGCAAAATATTGTCTTAAATTTCAACGAAATTTAAAATTTTTACGGCCGCAATGATTTTTTTGGCAATATTTTAGTTTCAATACGCGCATTGCTGCTCTGCTGAGATTATACTCACCTTTGTTGGAGTATTGAAATAAATTATTAGTGAAAATAATAAAATACAATTTTCATTAATTCATTAAAAGCATTTGGAAATACTTAGAAAATTATTTGTTCTACATATGTATGTACGAAAAGCAACAAATTTTAATATTTATTATGTATGTATGCGTTTACCAATTTATGCATAGATGACGTGTATTTGAAAAAGTGTACTATTCGAAGTTCGTTTTTAAGTAGTGAGGAAATGTGGAAATGACTTCTAACATTTTATTTTAATCATCTAAAATTCTTTTTGGTACGAAATATATGTATATCCGAGACTGTTGGATATTTTGGAGTACATACATACAATAATCATATATTACTTATTTAATTTACTCGAAATATTATCCTCTTTAATCACTTTGAAACACAATTAGATTTTTTCTGGAACTTTAAAATGTTTTTGTACTTGAATTAAGTTGTATTTGGCACGATTCTTCAAGCGCTAAAGCAAAATCAAATATATATTATAGAATCTCATATACGTTTACGGATCT